CTCTACTCGATAGTAGTGCGAGTGAGCGCTATGTCCCCTGACTAGGTCCAGAGATTCTCCCTTTACTCAATACAAGTAATAAATCGATGAAGGGTACACCATTAATCCCTGCAATGGCTCCTGCTCCTCACACTAAGAATGTTAATTGGGGGTGGGGGTGGGGGCGCGGAGGAAGCGGTGGATGTCCATTGAAATGTACTCCAGGATCTCAGAAAGCAATGGGAGGAGCCTGCGGTGGTCTGAGCCAGGTGTTAAAGGTTATAGTCAGCAGTGAAATGCGCCGGCAGCTCCTGGCATGCAGCAAGGTGGGTCTAGATGGGAATACTAGGTTCTATTGGGTTTGGTGGTGGAAGCAGGTTTTCTAGTTTACAAGGAATCAGACTCATGAATTTAAATCTACCTACTGTTTTGATTTAAGCAATCAAGCTAACATGTTAAGTTGTGCAAGGGGAAGGCTATACACAATAAGAGGGAGGTTCGCAAAGACCGATGGAAGCAGAGGAAGCTCGGGAGGAGTACATGAGTTAAAGGTGAAAGAGGTAAATACTGTTATGTACAGTAATCTACAATAGCAGTGATCCACGAGCAGATGCACAAACAGACCTGCAGGCTTAACAGATAGACCCACAAATCCATATATATGTTTGGCAAAGGATATATGTACATGTATGTGTAATTTGCTTTTGCTGCAAATATGTCCATTCATGTGGCAGCGCACACAATGTGTGGTAAAGCTGTGGAAACTCATTAGACACAACCAAACACCCTGAGGGAATGAATTTCTGAATCTAGAGGCTCCAGACTCTGGTCTCTGGGGACACCAAGGTCAACTGGCATAACACAGTCCACAGGACAATGCTCTACATCTGACTTTGGTGGGTAGTGACTTAGGTCTTAAAAACTCATAAGCAGTCCTCTAAGGTACAACTACCAGTCTCTCCCTGTCCGGAGGAAAGATGAGTGATGAAAACTGAAGCTGCATGGAAACCACCAGTCCATTGGTGTGGACATTAGTCTCCAGGACCTAGAAACCAGAAGAACTAGATGGTGCCTGGCTAGCACTACCAACTGCTCAAAGGGTCCTGGATACAGTGAGAGAAAACTGTGGAACAAAGCTCAAAATCATAAAATAAGTCCAGGCTCACTGGTCAGTAAAGACTAGTAGAACCCCCAAAATGCTAGCTTTTAATCACCCACATTTAGGTCCAGAAATGAAGTCACCTCCATGGCTCAACTTTCATCCAAACAATAGACAGGTCTATAAGGGGAACAGTAATACTATGGAGTTACACACCTTAGAATGATCAACCATTTGAGATCAAAAAGACAGTATTTACCCAAAGACCAAGTTGAGACATGTTAGGAAAAAAGGAGGAATAGAAACAGGTAACATGACTTGAAACAAACGGAATTGCTGAATAGAAAACTAAACCTTCACTCAACTCACAATAAAAAGTTAAACAACAACAAAATTCCGGTTCTAGCAGAGAGAGATATGTCTTGAGCACTCAAGAGAGTCATGGCCTCTTACCCAAATCTGATCATCCACAATGCATTGAGGGGGAAAAAGAACAAACCAATAAAACTCAGATAGAGTTTTAGAGTTGTAGAGTTTAGAGTTGTAGAGTTGACCCCAACTCATGGAGACACGGAGTAGAATGGTACCCAAACGCTGTGACCTTTCAAAAGCAGATTAGCAGGCCTGTTTTCAGACATGTTTCTTGGTGAGTTCAAACTGTCGATCCTTTTCACCACCATTCACCAGCCTTGAATGAACCCCAAACTCAATGCCATGGGGTCAATTCACCAACTGATATGGACCCTTTGGGACCGAGTAGAACTTCTCCATGTTCCAAGACTGTAAATCTTTACAGGAGCAGTCAGCCTCATATTTTCCCCATAGAGTGGCTGTTGGGTTTGAACTGAGGACTGTGTCGTTAGCAGTCCAATGCTTAAACCACTGTGTCACCAAGCCTCCTTTTCTTGAGTAAAGGGGAGGCCAAATTTCTCACGGAAATGAATCCCTGGCCATTTGCTCAGATAGTGGTCAGCCAGTGAAACAAAAATACCCAAACCCTTTGAGGACTACACGGTACTGGCTCTAAACTAACCGTTATTCTAGGAATTAAGAGCACTGCCAGTCCACTAGTCAGACTCGGACTTAGAGGGTTGCCTCTTCTCCCAGTCGTCACCATTGGGGTCTAAAGACAACCTAAAATTTTCGATATCCCCCAAACACAGAATCCTCACCATGGCTTCCTGTTTACGAGGTAAAAAGTGGAAGTAGTGGGCTTTCCTTTCCTTATGGAAACCACTGCATTCCCAGGAAGACTTACAGAAATTAGGGCCACTAAAGGTCTGACAGATCCCAGCATGGTTATTCCTATCACATTCCACTCAAGTTCCTTTGACAAGTGGAGAAAACTGAGGAGGGGATTGTAAACCTAATCTGATTGTCACTGTAATTAGCACTGCTGTGCCACAGTAAAATAACACAGACCTAAGCATTTGGTAGGAGCCCTGGTGGTGCAATGTTTACGAGTTGGGTGGTGATCCTCATAACCATGCAGTTG